GCAGAGTGACTCTAGGTAGCTTACAAGTAGGTTTTATACTAAATAGTTTGTCCTTAGATATCAGAATGGCCTTCCCTTCCTGGCTTGTAGGAAGCCTGTTAAAAGAACTCTTCCATCAGCCCCAGAGGCCCCGGTGTTGTTATGACTGCTCCCTCTGGTGAGGAATAGTATTTTAATTTTGGGTCCATTTAATGTAGGTATCTCTCCCTTACTGGTTTATTCTGTGTCTATTATTATTTATGTGGCATTGTTTAATTTGTTTTTTATCTGAATGTACAATAAATGAGAATTATGTTCCACTGAGATCTTTTCAGCTTTAGAGGGATTAATAATCTGTATATAAATAAGATCGTAGTTGTTTGCCATGAATGGTTTAAGAAAAAAGGGTTCTTTTTATATTTTGTGATGATACAATCTGCAGTCAGAACAATAAAACTTAACTGAATTGAAATGGAATGGGAAAAGTACATGATGGCTTTGCCATTGCTAATTTGAGCACAGGAGTTGGACCAGGCATAATAACTAATAAGAAAATAATCTGGAAGTTGATTATATAGATAGGCAAGAAAGTGGGTCTTTAGTTGAGGAATAGCAGAGGATGACAGAGGTGAGGAATGTAGAATTATGAATACAGTTAAGGACCAAAACTTATGTTGCTAAGCGATAGGACATTAAGTGCCTGGTTTTTAATGCTACAGTTGTTAAGTAGATCATGCGGTCTATAAGCAAATCCATTTTCCCCCATTTACTTTGTTTGTTGAAAGCCCCCTGGGAATTGGATGGTCATGCTAACCCAGAAAGCTGCGATCATTGAAAATAGATGCCAGTTGCCAAGCATCCACATTTTGTGCATTTGACCAGAAGGATGCTAGGGCAGTTTTAAGTGTGAGGACCAGTCTTAAATAGCTTTTTCAACACTATCATCATAAATAGTTAAAGAAATGATTGTAAATCAGGGTAGATATATTAGTAGATATATTGCTAATGAGGTATAGACAGGGAAGGCTGATGGCCAGATAATAGGCCCACAGAATAAGAGAAGAACAGTTGGAAGGGACCTTGGAGGTCTTCTAGTCCAACCCCCTGCTCAGTCAGGAAACCCTGTATCATTTCAGACAAATGGATGTCCAGTCTCTTCTTAAAAACCTCCAGTGCTAGAGCATCCACAACTTCTGGAGGCAAGTTGTTCCACTGATCAATGGTTCTGTCAGGAAATTTCTCCTTAGTTTTAGTTTGCTTCTCTCCTTTTGTTTCCACCTGTTGCTGCTTGTCCTGCCTTCAGCTGCTCTGGAGAATAGCTTGACTCCCTCATCTTTGTGGCAGCCCCTGAGATATTGGAAGACTGCTGCCAGGATTTCGGCAGCTACCCCAATTAAATCATGCGTCTTGAGCCAAACTTCCAAAACTTCCAAAGGATTTATTGGGAGTTGACACAACTGCTATCGTGTCACCCCGGTCCTTCTTTTCATTAAATGAGACATACCCAATTCCTTCAACCGTTCTTCATGTATTTTAAGCTTTAGTCCCACATAGTGTGATTAGCCATAATTTCTTACTTTGAATAAATTTCTAGTTTGAATAAAAATCGCACTTGACTGAATTCACAGAATACGTTAAATCATAAGGCATCCTTGACCGGATACATAATAGGTTGTAAAACGAAGGAGTGCGTAGAGGTCCAGTTTACCTTACCGTTTCTCCATATCTCAGGACGCAATTGCCATGTGTTTTTTCTCTTTCTGCAACAGGCGGAAGTGGAACAGAAAAAGAAGCGAACCTTCAGGAAATTCACCTACCGAGGTGTTGACCTGGACCAGCTCCTCGACATGTCTTAGTAAGATCTCTCTTCTCTCATTTAACCGCCTCTGCTCCTTTACTTCAAACTTGACAGCCAGCATAATGAAGAAGATTCAGTCAGAATCTGTTTAGCGAGAGCGTTGGGGCTTTAGAAGATAGACCTGTTCCAGAAGTAGAACTCTGGAGCACAATCTGGATAAAAAGCATTGCTTGAAAATCTTGAATTAGAAGTTGAGTGGGGTGGCTTGACTGGAGGGAATGATGCTCGTTGCATTATTGAGGACATTATTTTTTTAAGTCTCACTGACAATTTGGGATGAGTTCTACTTTTTTTGTAAGAGTGAGAGGCATTGACACTGAACCTGTCAGGCACAATGTCAAGGTTCCAAGTAGTAGATCCATAGCAAGCAAACCCTCCGAGGCAGGTGGATTCTTCAAAGGATAGCTTTATTGGAAGTATCATATTTTGGCACATATCTGGTGAAAACCGATGTTAGATTTTGCAGCAGAAATTTAAATCCAGAAAGCACACAAAGATGACTGATTCAGCAGGATTCATTAACTTCTTTATATACATAATAGCATTTGAAGTAAAGTTTACAATACCAATAGTAGATTCTTCCAATTTAACACAAACAAAACACAAGCATCAGCTTCAGAGCTCAGAGGAGAGAGGTTTAGTTTCACTTTTAAAAAGCACAGGTAAGTTTCATTTCTTCAGAGCAGAGCATGGAGCTAAGCCACACCCAGACAGTTTCCAATCTCAGCCCCCAATTCAGCTCCCATTGGCTGACCTTGTTACCCATGTCTCTGCCAGTTCATGAATATTCTGACAACCGACTCTGAGGGTTCCCGCAGTTTTCACCTAAAAAAAAGTTTTTAAAAAAAATCCGCTTTCCAAAAGCAATCAGTCACATAGTTCAATCACAGCTCAGTGTGGTTGCCTAGTGACATCACCCCTCCTTCCTCCAACCAGGCGTGAGAATGTCCTTAATTCCCAAGAGAAAGTACAGTATTTTGTTTTGGCTACAGTCCCAACTATCTCGGTTCCCCCTCTCCCTCAGCTCCCGTGTGGCAACACTGAAGCTCCAAGATGGCTTCGGTCAGGTCAGCTGCAAGGTTGACCCACAAAGGATCAGGACCACATGCTAAGTTGCAATTCAAAAAGTTTATTGCTCAAGCCAGAATCTGGTCAGCTGAAGTTCAAATCAGGATTGGCACGAGATAAGGGTCCAGGGAATTCAAGGCGGGAGCTGGATTTGGGTTGCTTGTGCTGATGTAAGGACTCTAATCCGATGACATATTTAACTCCATCCCCAGCTGTGCCTCCTCTACTCCTACTGATCCCTCTCCCCCTTCTAGGATTTGGATCTCATTCCAAGATCCACCCAATTTCCAATTGGAAACCCTTTTCGCTATCCCGCGGGATCCCTGAACCTAATTCATGTTGGATGGTAGGCATCACTGTTGACCTGACAGGGCCTCTCTCCTCCTTTCCAGTGAGCAGCTGATGCAGTTGTATAGCGCCCGCCAGCGCCGGAGGCTGAATCGGGGTCTGCGCCGCAAACAGCACTCGCTGCTCAAACGTCTCCGCAAGGCCAAGAAGGAGGCGCCTCCCATGGAAAAGCCAGAAGTGGTGAAGACCCACTTGCGCGACATGATCATTCTTCCGGAGATGGTGGGCAGCATGGTGGGCGTGTACAACGGAAAGACCTTCAACCAAGTGGAGATAAAGGTGAGACTGGGGAGGGGTGGAAGGGATCCATTTTAGACCTCCCTCAAATGACCGCGTTTCTGCAGGCAAGACGAACCGTTGACAAAAGAACGTAATTCCTTTACCCCTGTTGGAAGCAGGACATCGGTTGTGGCTGGGATTAGACCACAGGTGTCCAATTCTGACAACTTTTAAGACCTGTGGACTTCAACCCCCAGAATTCTGGGAGTCTGAAGTCCACAGGTCTTAAAAGTTGCCAGAATTGGACGCTCCAGTTTAAACTTTGAAACTTTATGAGCAAGGAAAAGGGGAAGCTACGTTGAAACAAAAATTTATTTCAAATTATCTGCGCCAAATTATCTACACCAAATCCTGGAAAGACAGAATGCCTGATTTAATCAGTGCATTTTATTCAACATAGGTTGCTTCAGTCATCAGCTGTCTTACAATCCCACTATCTATAAACAAGAATAGCAAATACATCAGGAAGATTTACCAAGTTTGCTGTCATTATTACAAATAAAAAAATTATCAGTTCTATTTAAATGACTTAATTCCCTTCCAAATCCGTCCCGTGTTGCAAAACCTTTTTAGATAATAAATCTTGTGGAATAGTGTTTAGGGAGTTTCTCTCTTTATATACAGGTATACAGTCCTCAACTTACCGCCGCAATTAAACTCAAAATTTCTGTTGTTAAGCGAGACAGTTAAGTGACTTTTGCCCCATTCTTGCCCCACCTTTCGTGCAGTTAAGTGAATCACTGCATTTGTTAGTAACACTATTGTTAAGTGAATCTGGCTTCCCTATTGACTTGGCTTGTCAGATATTTCCAAAAGGGACCACATGATCTAAGGCATTGCAACTGTCAAAATACATGCCAGTTGCCAAGCATCTTAATGTTGATCATGTGACCATGGGAATGTTGCAATGATCATAAGTCATTTTCTTCAATCCTGTTGTAATGTTGAGCAGTCACTAAAAGAATGATTGTAAATAGAGGATTACCTTGTACTTTAGCTTTGAAGTTAATGATTTTTTTAATTAACAGAAAATGTGCTGTGACATTTCTTTTGTATCGCTAATACCTACTTGCTGCCTAATTTATAATTTATAAAACTACTTTTCTCCTGAAAGACTCACCTTTACATTCCTTTCTATTATATTTTTCATGGAGACAAATGGTTTTTGGTTTTTTTTAATTAATTTTATTTTATTTTTTTAATTTTTATTTCCCTCTTTCAGCCTGAAATGATTGGCCACTACTTGGGAGAATTTTCCATCACATACAAGCCGGTGAAACATGGTCGACCTGGAATTGGGGCCACCCACTCATCTCGGTTCATTCCTCTGAAATAAAGAGTTTGGGGGTATTTTTATGTGTAAATAAAAACATTTCCCAAACAGCTGGCTGGTCTCCTCTTTGGATAGGAAGGCCCTGATTCACTTCAGTCATGCTTTTGAGTTTGTAGGATTTTCAGTTCGTCCTGTAGTAGCTAAGAGGACTAGAACCATAATACACTATTAATTTTTTTCTCCATTTGGGAGTGGGTGGATAGTCAAATAAGACTTAATTTTCCTTCTACAAACAGTAATGACTGTGATTCACTTAGCAACCATAGCAAAAAAAAATTGTTAATGGAGCATGACTCAATGGTTTTGCTAAAGAACTAGTCCCAGTCGTAAATCAAGGACTACCGGTAGTTTATCTCCAAGACAAGGCCACAGAGGTGAAGACGAAGACTTCCAAATCATCACCCCCCCTTAAAGTGGAATCCCGTTGGAAGATCTCTTCCATTTGGAGGGTGGTGAGCCCACTGAACTAAGGACAGGCCTTCCCATTGGGGACATCTTCATTTTGCACGCCCAGAAGGTGGTTTGGAGCATTTCCCTGATTGAAAGACACAAAGCAACGACAATCACTGCGATAGAAGCCCAGGATGTCGCTGCTATGAAGAGGCCAAATGCCTCCTTCCAGCCGGCTGCCTGGATTGTACACCACGTGGCTTCAAGACAAGACTCAGAGCGGGGGAAATGGAGCGTCTCTGGATAGTGGCTGTAGAGGCTGTGGAAGGTCATCACGAAGAGGCCTTCCAGAAGAGTCTTGGCCAAAAGGTTGACCAAATGCAACCTGAGCTGTAGACCTCTGGACCAGGTCTGGCTCTTCCCACCAAAGGCCTTGCGCTGGACGTCCTGGGAGGGAAACAGGAACACGCAGGCCAAGCCGTGGCTGAGGAGGCTGGCCGTCTGCAACAGGAAGAGGTTCAAAGGGGAGATGGGAAAAGTCTCATCCCAACAAGCAAGGACGCAGCTCCGCCGGGTGGAATTGCACCGCAGGTCGGCCAACTCGTCCCGCCAAACCGTTGCGGCTCCTACGATCAGGAATCCCAGGCGGAAAACCGCAAGGCTGGCCAGGCTGGCTCGGCACAACCGTGGGACTTGACCGCCGGTGCCACTGAGCAGAGTTGTGACCGTTTCTTTCTCCATGGAGTTGAGTATGGCTTTTGGCTGCAATGAAAAAAATAGCGCATACGGTGATGGTTATGCTTAGCTGCTCACATTTGTTGGAAGCTGCCTATGAATAGTATAGAGCTGGAAGGGACCTTGGAGGTCTTCTAGTCCAGCCCCCTGCTCAAGCAAGAGACCCTGTACAATCTCAGACAAGTGACTGTCTGGTCTCTCTTTAAAAACATCTAGTGATGGGGTGCCCACGATTTCTGGTAGCAAGCTGTTCCACTGGTTAATTGTCACTACTATTAGGAAATTTCTCCTTAATTCCAAATCGTTCCTCTCTTTGACCAGTTTCCAACCATTCTTTCTTGTCCTGCCCCCGTGCTTTGGAGAATAATTAGACCCCCTCTTCTTTGTGGCAACCCCTCAAATACTGAAATGCTGCTCTCGGGTCACCCCAAATTCTTCTTTTCTTTTAGGACTCCAGAGATTGGTCCACAGATGGACCCGGTGTATAATCTTGGGGTGGGGAAGATGTCTCCTGGACTCACAACTGCTGCTTGAGGAGCAGGTGGTCATTGTGGCTGGGGGTGGGATTCAACCTTTTTTTTTTTACTACTGGTTCTATGAGAGGCCGCTTCATGCAGCAGTCAAAAACCACCCATCTTGAGCTTCGAACAGCTGAGGCGCGGCTGAGCTCAAAACCAAGGAAATAAAGGACAGGAAAGGATGGGGGCAGGTGGGCAGGGCCAACTGCTCAGTGTCGCTACCGGTTCGCTAGAACTGGTGCAAACCAGCAGCCTCACTGATGAGAGTGCATAAACACTCCACAATAGGGGGCTGTGTTTTGTTGATCTTGGATAATCCACACACACACACACACACACAGTTAAGCCAAGTTGGACCTGGTTAATCTGTGGAACACCAGAAACAGTAGACTAGTCAAGAGACTGAAAAACATTCTTGAAGGCGGCCATGGCAAACCGCTTCTGCACTGTTGGCATGGGAACAGCAGAGAGCGCTTTTTGTAATGAGCTGGAGTTAAGCTTGGCTCAAGGGAGAAAGTTATATTCAAACACCACACTAAGGTATTGTTCACCGAATAAGCCACAATTGACCGGCTTCGCACAATGGAAAGTTGAGGATGGGTGGTCTGTGAACCTCCCACGGCTTTTATTACCAGAGCTCCTGGAGGGCTATGAAAGATCAGATCCTCAGGGATGTGTTTACTCAGACTTGTTGGAGGCAATTACGTTATAAATCTTCTTGCGAGGCTTTAACGTTGCAACATCTTAACTTTTTTTGAGTTTTAAACGAACCTCTTCCAAAAACATTCACCACCCCAGTGCTGAGCCATGAACCCAATCCTGCATTTGGTTAACACAGCAAAAATAGTAAAAAGATTTTAAAAAAATTATGTTGCTTTGGCACAATGTGGGAATTGGTTCTGAAAGTAGTAACACACCAGTAAGGCAACATTGCTAAAAAAGTAAGAGTCTAAGATTTCTGTCTTGACAGGTTTGTGTATTTTAATCCTGTAACCTGTTCAGACTCACTCACTTCTGGGAGTTGAAGTCCACAAGTCTTAAAGTTGCCAAGGTTGGAGACCTCTGGTTTAGATGTGTTTCTGTTTTGGTTTCCCCTGACATGCTTATCCATGGTTTATCAAATGAGCCAGCTGGGTTTTTATGAAACAGTAACCATGAATAAACCTTACAAAGTTGGCTTGGGTGAGCTAAATCATGGTTCAAACTAGAGTGAAAACAACTCTTACATCTTTCATGGATTTTCTGAATTTTGTGTGCACTCCTGGAAGCTCTTTAGGAGTGGGTGGCAAACAACAACCCAAAAGGAAGACAGAATTCCAGCTAATTAATTATGATTAACAGTTGGAATTAAGGCAGTTACAGTCACATTTAAAGGACAAATTATAATGACAATTGCTAAAAATATTATTCCAAGGGAGATGATATATTTAAATACAGAGTGGGCTGCAATTTATGATATTAAAGGAGTTTTCAACGTCATTTTTCATCCCATCCCATAATTTAAATCCACCTTTTTCAATCTGGTAACCTCAGACATATGCAAATCCTAAATTAAACAAATGAAACTAAGCAAATCCTAAATTAATTGGGATTCTGGTTCCAGGCTGAAGAGGACTGATCAAAATAATACTGAGGGAATTACTTTTCTTTGTTATCCTCCAAGATGGGTTGGCAATGTCTGGTTTTAAATTACTTCAAAATCCCAGGGCTTCGAGCACAATCCTTCAGCAGGACTAGAAGCTTGAAACTTGAGTACTAATCCCAGCTTCCAAGAAGCAAGCTGGAGCTGATTGTATTGAGAGAAGGAATTTGCTTCATTGTCCTATTTTAACAAAAGAGTTACTTCTTTAGTCTTTCCCCAAGTTTCAAGAAGCCGAAACCAGCTGTTTCTCGAAGACAGGGATGTCCAAACTTGGCAACTTTAAGACTTGTGGACTTCAACTCCCAGAATTCCCCAGCCAGCACCTCTGAGCTTCCTATCATAGCTTGGCTGGAGAATTCTGGGAGTTGAAGTCCACAGGCTTTTAAATTGCCAAGGTTGGACACCCCTGCTCTAAGGAAAAAGGCAAATAGGAGGAGAACTTTCAATCTGAACTTTGAGAGAAAAAATGATAGGGAGCTCGTATTTTGTCTTATAAGAAGTGAGGAGTCTCCTAGACAAATTTTTTTCACCAGGATTATTGGTTTTATTCCTCTTCTGGGACCCCCAAATCAGGACTGATGTGGATTTCAGATCCCTGCAAAAAAAATAAGCAAGGAAGCTTCAGCCAAATCCCAAACCAGGCAACATGAGACTGCAATTCTAGCACACTCACCTAGCACAGGTATAATCTCCAGGTCTGCTCTATGGATGTCAGATTTTGGGGAGATGATCCAGATCTCCTGAACAAACGGGTGCCTGTTGAGATCATTCCTCTAGTCAAGGGCAGCAAGAAGAAGGAACAGGAAGTGCTTTCCTTCTGGGGTATATTTTGATATAAATAAAGCGCAGGGCAGAGATTCCAGTTTGGAGCAGTTTGGAGCAGGTGAGACCAGGAAAGGGAGGAAAAGGAGTGGGGTGGGGAGGAAAGTGGGAATTTAAAGCAGCCCCTGATGCAAAGGAAGGTCTGAATCTGGTTATCTGGATAGCTCCATTTGATTCCTAATAGCCATCATCTACAGCCATAGAATTTGAAGTTTATTTACTTACGTCTGAGTTTATAGTCCAGGGTTCAGTTTATATACACCCACAAGGCAGGTTATAAAAAGTAAAGTCCCAGCCCGTTTTCTTTTTCTCTCATTAGCTTGCAGAAAAGGGAGGGAAGGAAGGAAGGAAGGAAAGGGGGAGTGAGGGAGGGAGCGGGAGGGAGAGAGGAAGGAAGGAGAGAAAGAGAAAGAGGGAGAGGGAGAAGGAGGGTGGGAGGAAGGAAAGGAAAGGAGAGGATGCCATTGAAGTAAAACAAATAACACGGTTAAAATGCCAACTTTAAATCATTTTTTTTAAATTGTATCTCAAGCTATCTAAAAGTCACTCAAACCCAAGAAGAGGTTGCTTCTTTCTTTATTTAATTTTAAAGCCTGGAAAGCAGGAGGCGAATTCATCACCCATGGACTTCAAGTCCCACCTTAACCCATGAAAGCCAACTGGGTGTGCCACTTTCTCTCTCTCTCTCTCTCTCTCTCTCTCTCTCCTCTCAACCCACCTCACTGGGTTGTCATTGTGGGGAAAACAGGCGGAAGGAGGTGTGTTGGTTATGTTCGACCACCTTCAATTATTTTGTAAAAAAAAAGAATAAAGGCAGGATACAAATAAATAAATAAATAAAGCATGCGTTAGAGCCGCCCATTCTTTCACAACAGCAGAAAGGCACCTGGCTGAAGAAGGCCAAAGAAATGCTGTTGAAAAGGCCAAGAGCTTCAGAACTGAGGTGCTCTGCCTTGAAATGGCCTTAAGGCTGCCGCTGCACCCCATTGCCCTATAAGAATAGAATGGAATGGAATGGAATAGAATAGAATAGAATAGAATAGAATGGAACGGAACGGAACAGAATAGAATAGAAAATATAGAATGGAATGGAATGGAACAGAACAGAACACAACAGAATAGGAAAGAATGGAATGGAATGGAATGGAATGGAATGGAATGGAATAGAATAGAATAGAATAGAATAGAATAGAATAGAATAGAATAGAATAGAATAGAATAGTTGGAAGGGACCTTGAAGGTCTTCTACTTCAACTCCCTGCCTCAGGGGTGGGATTCAATTTTTTTAACAACCGGTTCTGTGGGCATGGCTTAGCTGGTGGGTGTGGTTTAGTTGGTGGGCGTGGCTTAGTTGGTGGGCGTGGCTTAGTTGGTGGGCATGGCTTGGTGGTAATATGACTGGCTGGGCGTGGCCAACTTAACATCACTCACATCGAGGCACGCTTCTCCTCGCCTGGCCTCTCATGACTGTGGGGATGCTGCAACAGTCATAAGTGTGAAAAATGGTCATAAGTCACTTTTTTCAGTGCCATTGTAACTTTGAATGGTCACTCCACACAAGCAAAGTACCAGCAAAGGAGGGGAAAAAAATTCCAGAGACATTCCTGAGACAGGAAGTCTAGTCCGGCCAAGAATGTAATAAGGGTTAACAGAGAGGAGAGGCAGTTTCTGTAAGCAACACCAGAATGTTTCCTTCCTGCCTTCCTTACAGGATTAGGCCAGTAATTTCTTCTAACAACTGGTTCTCCAAACTGCTTAGAATGTTAACAACTGGTTCTAGCAAATAGGTGTGAAGTGGTAGAATCCCACCCCTGCCCTGCCTAGATGTTGAGGCTCTAGAAAGAGTGCAGAGAAGAGCAACCAGGATGATTAGGGGACTGGAGACTACAACATACAAAGAACGGTTGCAGGAACTGGGCCTGGCTAGTCTAGTGAAGAGAAGGGCCAGGGGAGACATGATAGCACTCTTCCAGTATTTGAGGGGCCGCCACAGAGAGGAAGGGGAGTCAAGCTATTTTCTAAAGCACCTGAAGGCCAGACAAGGAATAATGGATGGAAACTGAACAAGAAGAGATTCAACCTGGAAATGAGATATTTTCTGACAGTGCAAACAATGAACCAATGGAATAGAAGTTGCCCTCAGAAGTTGTGGGAGCTTCATCACTGATGGCTTTCAAGAAGGGATTGGACTACCATTTGTCAGAAATAGTGTAGGGTCTCCCGCTTGGGCAGGGGGTTCGACTAGATGACCTATAAGGGCCCTTCCACCTCTGATTATCTGTTATCTGTTAGCCAGGAAACCCTACATCACTTCCAAGCCCAGCCTTCTTCCCCAATTTCAGGGCCCCAAATGTGTAGCTTTAGGCGTGTATGTGTGTGGGGGAGGGGGGATACAGTCTTTAAAATACTCGGCTCCCTGGCTCTTTCCTTGTCAATACAGTTTCTCCAGCTTCAAGCTCCACATTTCTGGGGTTCTTAACACAAACTGCCCCCCCGCCCCCCCAAAGAAGATCAGGCACACTTACAAAGTGTAAAAGATCATATCAGCTCTTTTCTATCGGGACAGGTTCGCTCAGCTGCGCCCTAAGGCCCTGCCTTATTATTTCATCGCTTCCCCCCCTCAGCACTCCACCCCAGCAACCCGCCAGGTGCTCCCCGCTGCCCCCTGGCGCCCCCAGACCTGCACTGCAACGCCTTTCTCCCTCTGGGGGGAAAGCCAAGCCCATCTCAGTGAGACAGGCAGAGAGGCGGGAGAAGGATGCAGTGGGCTCTATGGGTCTGCTGTGGGTCCTCTCCTTTCTCCATTCCACCTTCTTCGGGGATGAGGTAAGACCCTCTCTGTGTTTTGATATATCTATCTATCTATCTATATATATTTGGGAGGGAGAAGGGGGGGGGGCTTTTGCAGGCAGGAGTCAATGCAGCAAGCTGGAAAGGAGGGTGGGAGAGAGAGAGAGACAGAGAGAGAAAACAGATGGAGAATGGAAGGGGCTGCTTTTCCAGCCTTGCCCCCAACCTTCCTCTTCCCCCCCACATCATCCCGATGCCAGCCAGTGCCAACCTGAGCAGCATATTAAAAAGAGACCGACGTCCCTCTCAGGGGCTGGATGTGACATGACAAAGTCCCAGAGGTTGTGAGGGGTGTGTGTGCAGAGAATAAATTAGGAATGGGAGGCGGGGTGTCGGTCCACCCTGGGGGAAAGCTAGACTGTCGTTTTCTATTTTTAACGATCCCCCATTGCGGTTTTGAAGACCCACAACCGGACAAGTAGCGTTGCTGTCTCTTCCTCTCCGTTGTGGTGGCTGTGCCATAGACTCTGTGCGTGGATGCATGTGTGTGCTCTGTGTGTGTGTGTGCTTGTGTGTGTTCTGTCTAGGGGGTGTCCATTCTCCCCCCCACTCCTGTTCTGGGCGATGGTCGTGCACTATTTCTGCTCTCCTAGTCCAGCGATGAGAAGAAATGCCAAGATGGGGGTGTAGTTGAAGAGTCGGTGTTGCAATTGGCAGGGTCTGTCTGGCAGGGAGGGGACACGCCGTATGGATCCGGTCCCAAAGGGTGCCATCTTCTCCACAGACACAGACAACACCCCCCCCACACACACACACATCCTTCCCTCCCCAAAGCTTAACCAATTGGCCGAGGTTCATGAGGGATGCTACTTGGGACGAGCAAATGCCGTGGGGTTGTCATCCAAACGCTGCTGCCCCAAGCAGGGAAAAAAACGCTGCTGCCTTCTTGGATTGCAAGCAAAACAGGTCACCATCTCTCGGTCCCGATGGCTGGCAGCCAGGAGGGGTTGGGAAGGAGTTTGCCAAGCCGAGCGGAAAGAAGGCAGTGACCTTCCCTTGTCATTTCGCTCTGTTCACCGGCCTTCCGAGGTAGACTGCCTCTCCCTTTGGAGGGTCCATTAAATGTCCTGGATGGGTTTCCCACTTCGGCAGCTGCTTAAAAAGGAAGTTACGTGGGCCTTTTCCCCTGCCGCCGCCGAAGAGAGAAATAAGAAGGTCACTCAGATCTTTTATCATAAAACACTCCAATGTCGTGCTGTCACTTTTGTGCCCTTTTCGTTTTCCTGCCTTTGTATGGTAGGAGGCCAAAGGTAGAGAGGCTGCGGCTCTCCTTGGCTCAGGGTCCCAACCACGGCCAGTGCTTTCTGAGAGAGCCCTGTGTACTGCATTGTATATTCTTTTATGGTCTGCGTGCTAAAAAAAAATTATGTTGCCGTCTCCAAAGTGCTTTGGTTTGCTTTAGCTGTGCCAGGTTTTGGGGCACAAGATATGGCAGGCACCGGTTTCCTAGGAGAAAATGTTGGTAGTGCCCCAATTTTTGAGGAGTGAGGTAATTCTTAGGCCCCTTTGAACCTTCCTGTCTTCTCTAGGAATTCTCTCCCTGGTTAACAGCCTTCCAGAAAGTAGTTAAAAACGAGCTACAGGTAGCCCTCAACTTACAGCAGTTCGTTTAATGACCATTCTAAATTACAATTATTGTACTGGAAAAAAAAGTGACTCGTAACCGGAGTTCCTACTTAACGACTGCCACAGCATCCCTGCAGTCACGGGATCAAAATTCGGACGCTTGGCAACTGACTCATATTTATGACGGTTGCAGTGTCCAGGGGTCACTGGATCCCCTTTTCTGATCTTCTGACAAGCAAAGTCAACGGAGGAACTCAGCTTCATTTAACAACCGTGTTACTAACTTTGCGACGGCTGTGGTTCACTTAATGACTGTGACAAGAAAGGTTGTAAGGTGGGACAAAACTCACTTAAACAACGATCTTGTTTAGCAACAGAAATTTTGGTTTCAAGGTGTGGTTGTAAGTTGAGGACTGCCTGTATTGCAGAGCGCTTGAGAGTAAACTAACCAAGGATTGTGTTATCTGCTTTTTCATTATCGAGTTATCATATTTTAACTTGCCAGGGATTG